AAATTTTAAAGAAGCGATCTAAACGGTTTTTGCAAGCTCGATACGTTTTTGAACGAGATTAATAACAATGAAAGATCGGAGCTGTGCGAGGAGTGCACGCACCCTATCACTTCCGATGTGCTGCTTATTCGTTTTGGTACTTTCTTTTGGCAGCACTGCTGCATAATTTGGGACTGTTGTCGCAGGAATGCTTCGATTGTGGTGCGCGAAATCCAACGTGGGCATCGATAACGTACGGTGTCTACATTTGCATTGATTGCTCAGCGGTTCATCGCAATTTGGGTGTGCACATCAGTTTTGTGCGGTCCACAACGCTCGATACCAACTGGACATGGCTGCAACTGCGAGCTATGCAGTTCGGCGGAAATGCAAAAGCGGTTCGTTCGTTCATCCATTTCTTTTTCTTTTTTTTGCAAATTACTACTATTTTTCATTGCTTCATTAGGCGCTTATATGACATCCGTTGTACCCTTCGTTCTGCTGACCATTTATTGTGGTGTTTGATCACTGATTTAGATTAAATTAGCCCCTTTTTTAGTTAAATTCATAACAAATTATTTTATGCATCACGTAGTAATATAACTATTTTCAGTGTGCTACTTATTACCCAGTTGATGCGTTTACTTGACTGTTCCAGTAGGTACTTTGTGTTAGTGATTTTTTGTTGGGCTAATGCCTTGGCGATCTTGTCGATTGGCACGGTGATCCGGCGCCTCCTCAGATAGGTGGATGAGTGGTGGATTCCGTAGCGATAGTTCGGGCTGGTAGGATCCACGTCTTTCGTTGGTCATTGGGGCCACCAACACTGCTTTAACACAGAAACAGCAGCCAGCTTCGCGCCATTATACATGCCGTACCTAGGAGGGAGTCATGATGCAACAATGTTATGAGCATACACTCGCACACTCCGGGCGCAGCTATGCTAGGCCTTTCGATCTTGGACTGCATGCAACTGTATTACCCGTCCCCTGTTCGATACATGTACACCATCGTTTCGGGGTTTGTCTGTATGGCCGTTTGCTACGTATCATTCATTGGTTTGCAGTATCCATATGCTTCTCACTTCTGATTCTTAGATACTTCACTAAAATGCCTTTTCCCATATTTCGATCAATTCCAAATTTATCGCGCTACGCTCTTATGCAGTCTTTCGTGTAGTCGTTGCTGTTT